CTCCCGGCTTCTGGCAGCCACAGGCTCCAAGCCCTGTCCACCTCCACAGCTCCAGCGGTGCAGGGCTGGGGCAGGGGGCTCGGCAGAGCACTGAGTCACCCCCCCACAAACACAGGCAGGCACCAGGCCAGCGGTTCTGGCTTGTTAAGGTTCTGAGAAAACCTAGACCGTTCGGGACATTTGCTTTGTCCCTGACAATACTTCCCAAAGCAGTGACAGAAATTAATAACTGTCACCGTACAAACACTTTGAAAGCTGTGTCATACAGATACCTGCCAGCATGTGCTCAGGATGTCGCTGCTTTATTTGCCTTCTCATCTTCTTTGCTGTCCTTTGCTCTTGACATGACAACCTCTCCCAGACACTCTCTGGCTGCTCCTATGGAGACTACAGGGCCAAACCTGGAATGCAAGTAAGCTTTGCCTCAACCTCGCCGTGGTCAGAGACATGATCCCACCTGTGTTTTTGTGAAAGGCTTCCTGGTCTCTCGGGAGCAGCTGCCATCATTATTCACAGCCATGCATGCAGTGTGTAATACCTGTCCAGCCTAGTGCAGCTGGAGGCTGCTGCCCTTCTCTTGACATGACAGTAAAAATCAAGTGACCTTGCGCTGGTCTGTCCCTGTCAGTAGTGAAGGCGAGAGATTGACTCTGTGGCAAATGAAGGGAGTGTGCTGTATGGTTTGTGGCCAGAGAACTCAAGTAGGTAAGGAACAATAATGGAAGAATGTCTCTAAAAATAGGGAGCAGATCTGTACCTTATTCATTTCCTTTTCCAGTGCTAAAGTATAGAGCTGTAGAAAGGGGTGTGTTTCTGATAGGAAATCAGACCACGTGCCCAGGTGTCATGAGCTTAGTTTTTTTTTCTCCCCATTCTTCCAGGTATTCCAGTACCCCAAGGCTTCCCTTTCCAGAGAAAAGATCTTGCCAATGCATCAAACCAGCATTGATGGGGTGGAAGACATGTCCATGCTGGGAGATCTGCACGAAGCTGCCATCCTGCTTAACCTGCACCAGCGCTACAAACAGGGTAACATCTACGTAAGTGCTCAAGCTGGGCCACGTCCTTTCTGGCTAATGGTTTTTGTTTAGCTTTGATGCTGCCTCTTTGCATGTGAAATACTGATTTTAGCATTGTTTCCTGAGCATTGTTTCATGTGGATTTCATGTGGAGTTTTGGTCTTCCTTGCCAGCTCCATAAGCCCTGTGAGATCCTACCAGAGGGCTCTCTTTGCATCTTTAGAACTTCTAAAACACAAACATTCATCTCTAGGCTTTGTCGTAATTGTGCAGCTATGTAGCCTTCATGGACCTCTGTGTTTTACAATCTGGCATTCGCATTCCCCAGACTCCCACTTATTGCTGTTCAGAGGTTTACATGGACAAGCAGACTGGAAAGTACAGTGTACACAGGTTGTTGCTCAGTATCCCTCCTGATCTGGATAAAGCTACTGCTGGACAAAAACTAGAAGAGAAAGCTGTTGTCGCATTCTTCTGCTTTTACATGCAGTTGTGCCTTTTTTGAGTTTCTTTTCTCTTCTTGCACGAATGAATACTCAAAGCATCTCCTGATTTCCCTCTCAAGTTCTCAGGGACAAGGGAAGCATCAGGACAGGGACTTCTGAGGGAAGGCACACCTGGGATGAGGCATCCCTGGAGTGCTGGGGTGGCAGCATGCTCTGCTGAGCCTCGGCGAGGACGAGGAGGATATATTGCAAAGACTGCCTTACTTTGCTTGTTCATGTTACATGCGCCCAGATTTTTTTCGGATTATGACAGGAAAAATGTAAATCTCTATCTGTGTCGCATAGCAACTGTTACCAAGACAACCAAACCATATGCACCTGTATTCCAGGAAATTATCAATAAAGTGACCCCATTTCTGAACCATCTCCTGCAGCGGGATGCAGAGGAGGCTGCAAATTCCCTTTTTTGTTGCTGTAGACCCCCTTGCCTGTTGTCTGTCCACACAGCCTTGTGACCCTGTGGCAGTACCCACGTGCACACTCAATTTTGATGGCCCTTGTCTTTGCTGCTCTTCCTGACCAGCGTTTCACACCTGCTCTGTATTTGTCCAGCTCTTTCCCCATTTGGTTATGTTCCATCTGAGGAAACTTCCTTGCACTTTGGAATGTGAGGCAGGATCCTCTCAATTTTCAGTCTGTGCCTTGCACCAGAAATGCCACAGCACCAGCACTGTGTCAGACAGTGTCACAGCAGCTGTATCTCCTTCAGTGTTTCCTTTAGCTCTGATAAGTCATTCCTTCTCCTATCTGACATCAGTTCTGTGTCTTCTCCATTTGTGTGTAAAGGTGTTAAAGTAGTTTTTTGCTTATGCATAGTGCAGGAATGTCAGCTGTGCACCTCAGATCTGAATTTTTTTGGACATGTATGAAAGGGCCTGACTTCTGTAACATTCTCAGCAGTGACAACCCCTCAGTGAAGGTTTATAAGCCCCTGCTTGTGTGGGACCGTATCTGGGTTCATGGTTGCCCAGTGTCTGACCTGGAGGACACCAAACCATACAAGTGCTGTTTTGCGCTGACATTGATATTGCAGTTACCTCATCACCAACTATTAGTTTCTGCTATAGCCCAGCTGCAAATATTTTTCAGTTAAGCAGAAATTAAGAATGTCAGCTGTGGTGCCACCCAATGACTTGCAGTCATCTGTGAATACCAGGGCTTGAGTTCATTTGATATCATCCTCAGTGGTCTCCACAGATAGAACATAGCAGGCTAAGGTTGCAGTTGAAGCTGAGAGGAGTTATGCGTATCAGTCAGGGCCAAAAATGTTTGGAAGGAAACCAAAGAGATCACAAACAAGTGATAAATACCATAATTCTCTGGAAAACATATTCACCTGAAGGAACGGGTAACCTGGAATACTGGTAATTAGTAGTAAAAATAATAATGAATAAATAATAATAAAAATAATTAGTGAAAGGATGGAAAAAACCCTGAGAATGTGAAGTAGACAACTGCTTTGAAAAAGTGCAGCGGATTTTTGATATGTAAGCCTGGAGGCATACTACCATGAGCTCATAAAGTGGATCTCTTTTGGTCAGGGAGTGTAGGTAGCAGTATACCTAGATGGGAGTGGTACCCATAATTTCTTTGCTACGGGAATACTGACAATCTCAGCAGTACCTTTGGTTTTCCAGAAAAATACTGTTCAGGCTCTACCAAACTGTTTAAGGAAATTATGTGAGCACAGCAGCAGCCTGAAGCTTTTAGGGAAGCATCTTCCCTCTTCATTCCTCCAGTTCCTTCATAAAAGTAGACTCAACATAATGTGATGTATAAAATGAGCCCAGGGGCTGTACTGCCACGTTTTGTGCTATCCCTAGCTCTGCCATGCCTAACCACCCTAGTAGGATGTAGACATGCAGTGCGTGGCTTGTCCTGCTCTACAGAGTTCTCTGGGGATGATCACACCTTGCTAATAGAGTGGCTGGTATGTCCATGGTCAATGCACAAGTGCTGCTGCTGTTTAAAAATTGTGGATAGAAATGGTCTATAAGGGACTGCAGGTGATGAGGAGACTGCAACAGGGAGATGGAAAAGTTTCCTAGAAACGCCTTCGAAAGAGACGGTGGTGGAAGAAGTTCTGGAAAGAACTGCAGTGGGAGCTCTGTTCCTTGAGACAGCTGGAATCTGGAGTGGGAAATGCAAAATGAAACATCTGAGAGGAGAAAATACTGTGAAGGTCTGGGAGAAGTGTTAGAATGGACATCTCTGTCTTGTTGTCTCTGGACAATGTCTGTTGCTCAACTGCTTGTACAGTGCTTTTTCTCAGTCTGTGTTTTCTCTCTCTCAGTGCTTTCCTATTTCCTCCCACCTGTCTTGCCAAAGATCATCTGCTTGCTTATTGCTTTCATCATCAATAAATTATATTTCTGCCCGTGAAGGTCCATGTCAGAGGGTCCTCAGGGCTTGTTCCATGCTAATGCAGTTAGGCCTAGGTGGTCGTGATGATCTCTGACTGCTGCTTTAATAAATAACTCTTAAGTATTTCGGCGACTACAGCATCTTATCAGTCTGGCTTCTGGCTTCCGAGCTTGGCGTTGCAGTATGGCCAGAGATTTCATTTGGCAGGAAGAAAGCATGCGTGTGTCTTGTCACCAAGTGTTTTGTTTACAGCTTCTCCAATGGATGCATGCAAATCCTCATCTGTGTATGTGGTGACTCGTAATTCATGGTTTGGAAATAATACTGGATGTTGTCCCTGACCACAAAGCTTGGCACTACTGCAGCAGTCTAAGCGTTTCCTCTCTCACCGCTGCTGAGAATGGGTATTCCTGGAGTAGGGCAGCCCAAGATGTCCCTGTGAGGGAGGCCAGTGCACCAGCAGTGGGATTTAAGCTGGATGTTGACCATATTACGAAGCCATTGTTAGGAGAGAGGTGGCACCATTGCTCTGAACTGCGGCTCTGAGAATAACTGGATTTGAGCTGGTTGGCTGAACCGAAAAAAGTCATGCCCGAAGAAACAAAATGAATTTCCTTCTGACTTCACAAAAGAATACTCTTGAAATTCAATAGTAGGCTCTGAGTGTTTTATTTTAAACCTTATTAACTCTTTCCTTGACCTGTGAGATTTTCAAAATAAATATTTTCAAACCGAAATGTTTAGAAAATGTGCAAATATTTTGACTTGAAATCTTGAGCTTCATCTTCAGCTATCAATTTTGATTTGGCTTGACAAATGATTTAAGCTGCTTCAAAGAGCATTTTTCAGCAAAAGAAAAACGATACGCTTTAGTGGCTCTTCGCACACGTGTATGTGTGTGTGTCTGTGTCTCACCTCTTTGTTCAGGAGGTGCCTGAACCCTGCCAAGACCCCTCCACTTAAGACTATGGATAGGGGCGCTGAAAGTATCTCCTGACACTCCTTCAGTGCTGACCCTGCTTTTTAGCTCCAAGCACAGTGCAAGGTAGCTGGCTATGAAGATGGCTTCATGTTTTTAGATTGTGTAAGATTAGTTTAGTAAAGAGAACAGACTAAGAACACTATTGTAACGCAGCAAAATTCAGACTGCCCCATCCATACCCAGTCACGCAGCCCCTGCCCTGGGGTTTATTGTTCTTTGCCAAGTTGGGGAGATCTCTGCTGAAGCCCAGCTTCCATATTTAGGCTTTCTCCCTTCACCATGAGTTATTTCAGGGTCTGGGTTTGTTGTCTGGTTTGTTTTGTTTTGTTTTTTGGGTTGGGTTTTTTTTTCAGGAGCTTTATTTCCTTGCTATGTTTTGTTTTCTCCCCTTAGACAAACATTGGTTCCATCTTGGCATCAGTAAATCCTTACAAACCCATCCCTGGTCTGTACAGTGTGGATGCCATAGAACTGTACAGACAGCACCGCCTGGGTGAGCTGCCTCCCCATATCTTCGCCACCGCTAACGAGTGCTACTGCTGCTTGTGGAAGCGTCATGACAGCCAGTGTGTTCTGATAAGGTTAGAAACGGGAGAACCAGCTACTCCCTGACCGCATTACGTGCCTTGCTCCCGCTGCTCCATCTGCCTAAATACCCACACCATCCTCCCTACCCTTTGCCTTGATCCCTGCTTGTCACAGTGGAGATGCCGTCTGTTTATTCCTGGAGGTCACTTCTCTGCTGTGGGTGGGATGGCCATTAGCTCTGTCCGTCCCAGATTTGTGAATGAAACGTATGTTTTTTCTTAACAGTGGAGAAAGTGGAGCTGGGAAGACTGAGAGCACCAAGCTACTGCTGAAATTTCTGTCAGCAATGAGCCAGACCTCCCTCGGGGCCCCTGCGTCTGAGAAGAGCACTTGTGTGGAAGAGGCCATCCTGGAAAGCAGGTACGGTCACCGTCACAGACGCTGGGCCCTGCCTCCTGGGCAGCCAGGCTGTGTGTGGATTGAGCCAGTCCTGGGGACTGAGGACCACGCGGCTGAACGGTGTCACGTCGAGGAACCACAGAGGTCACAGTCTTGCCGTGATGCTTCACGCTGGCTGCTCTCCCAGCTTCCTGTGGGTTAATTGGGCTTCTTTCCAATAGCCGTGGGGCACACGTGGCAGCTGGAGAATCAATGCTCTAGCCAAGGCTGGAATTTCTCCATCCTTCAGTAACTCATCCCCCACGCCTGCCCAGCTCACCCGCACATCACTGTGCTGTCCCTCTGTCTCCTGTGGCAGTGGCTGAAGGGGACATGGGTGAAGTCCCTCTCAGATTGTCCCAGGTTTTCCTTGTCTTCCACAGCTCTCCGTTTTGGCTGTGCTTGCAGTGGGTCTCTGTCATGCTCTGACTCCTGGCCTCCCGTAGCCCCCACTGTCCCCTGGCCTCCATTTCTTTCAGGCCATTGGTGTGTCTTGTCCTCAGAGGTCCTGTGGGCCACCTTGCAGTCCAGGCAGATGAATTCAGGGAGAGACATCCACGGGAGCTGTAAGGGGCATGAGTGAGGAGGTTTGCTGGGATTTGCAGCAGGGCCTGTGTGGAAGGAGACCTCAGGCTGGTCAGAGCTGGCCTCGGCTGGAGCTGACACCAGGGAATGGCCACCATCTGCCAAAACCTTGCCAAGGTGTCAGGTGCCCAGATCTTTGGGAAAAAACCCAGCACCCATGCGGGGATGGAGATGTGCTCTGTGAGGGATCCAAGAGGAGGTCTTGACACCTCTGAGGGACCATGGCCCATGGGTGACTCACACTGGAGCAGAAGACACCAAGGAAAAAGTGTCAGGAAAACCTGGAGAACCAAAGTGCATCTGAGTAAAAACAGTGTGAGGCAAAGAGAAGCAGAGAGAACGAGGGAGCAAGGAGTGACAGAAAGAAGCAGTTCTGTGTGCTTTTCCCCACGCCTCGTGGTGGGACTTGTGAGGGACTGAGGTAAAAATGGAAGCTGAGGCTAAGGAGGACAATAGGTGTTTGACTTTCAGGTAAACCTTGGAAAGGGAGAAGAAAGATATTTACTTTAGCATCTGTTTTATTGTTCATATCCTCCTTTTTTTAACACCTGAATTCTATATAATAAATTAAACTAAACTAAAATTTCCCAACACAATACTGCCTTGCCTGTGACTGGAGAACCTGCTGGGGGCCTTTCACATTGGTGCTGGCAAGGGTGAGGCTGCAGGTGGGCCACAGTTGGAGCCTGGGGTAGTTGCAGAAATGCCTGGAACCGTAAATCAAACGTCTGCAACAGGATCTAGTTGTGTAATAAGCTGGAATCCTTTGAACCATCTGTGTAAAACTGACTCTCATGCAAGTGGCATATTTTAGGGCCCAGAGAACAGAGAGAAGGAATGTTTCCTGGAAGACAGTGACGCAAAAAGTTCCTAATAACTGTGGTGAAAATAGCCTAAGCAGATACGCAGTGTCTAACGTGGCAGCTGCAAGAGCATTGCAGGTTTCAGGATCCTTATAAGCAGAGCAGCATTGAGCAGGAGGGTTGCTGCCTTTGCGCGGAGTGCTCGAGAGACCAATTTATCCTTTGCAGGTGTGCAGAGTTTACCAGGGATACTGAAAACTGGAAAAAGCTTGTAAGCGCGATATGGTCACGACTCAAATCTGTGATATTTGCTTTAAGGCAAGCGGCTTAGAAGGCTCAAGACTGCTCAGTGGTTAAGGGGTAACTTGGCTGATCTAGAATTGTGATGGTAGATCCCACAGCTGGGAGGTGGTGTAAGAGCTCACAACCAGTTCTGCGTACATCTCTAGTGCTACTTAAGCTATTGCAGTGCGAGTGCAAGAGAATTTAATTTGTCACCTTTTCCCCGAAGAAGAGAAACTGAAGACCTGGCCAAGAGCCAGAAGCTGCTGCCACTCCTAACGAGTCTACCTCCTATGTTTGCAGTTCAGCTTCACTTGCTCTGCCAGTGGCCCTCCTTCAATTAGTTTATGGTGGATTTTCATCCTCACACCCCAGCACATATGCAGGAACAATGCTGGATTCTTTCTCTGTTTCAGAGAGCATTATAAACAAGGCATTACATCAGATTTCTATCATTTGCTTGTGTGTTGTAACATTTGTGCTTGGAGTATATTTCTGAGAAGTCAGGCTCTGAAAACTCCCTTGGCACTGTTGATTTGATCTGTCTTCCTTCTTGAAAATATTCGTCAGTCCATTAAAAATTCTGCTAACATTCCTCTCAGCTTTTTTCCTCACTGGTTTGCTGCCTTCTCCATGTTGGGTTGCTACTTCTGACAGCGTAGCCACCTTTCCGGTTACTCATCCCTTTAATCTTCGAATCTGTTGGAGTTTTTTTTAGTGTGTTTTGTCTTCAGCTACGCATCTCTATCTTGGAGCTGCATGTGTTGCAGTGTTTCTAAAACGCAGGCTTCCCTTTTAGCTGCCTGGCTGAAACTGGTTCCTCTTGTTCTGGGTCCTGCAATGCGCCCTGCCCGCATCCAGCCGAGCAGCTGCCGTTGCCTTCCGATGCACGGTTGGCTCGCTGCGGCGCCGAATGCCGCGCTGTGACGTGCCCGCCGGGGCTTTGCCTTGCCCGGGCACCTGCCCGAATCGGCTCACCCACCCCTCTGCCTTGCAGCTGCCGCCAACCTTGGAGATCGACGTGAGCCCGTCTCCTCCCCTGTCCCTGAAAGGCTTCTGCGCTCATGTGCGTGAGCCTGTTGCCAGACTAAACCATCAAGATACTTCCTTCTGCTTCACTTATCTAATTTAACATGATTTAGAGCCATAAAGATCGGCCGCCTGGTTACTGCACTCCCGCTGCTATCGTGGTGGTCATATAATGTGACCCTGTCCTCCCTTTTTCTGGTTGACCTCATTAATTTTTGTTGATTCATAGCGTTGACGAGCTCTGTGGGATATCACTGTGCGATGTCTTTATTTACATGCTCATTCCAGAGCCGTGGGTCTTGGAGTTCAGATTCTCCAGGGCAAGGAGCTCACCTCCCAGTCTGTGCACACAGATTTCTGTGACTGCTATTTCTGTGGCTGTACTGTTTTGTAACAGAGCAATTTCATTCCTATGCTTTTCTTTCTTTACACTGATATTTTCATGAGATAAATTAGGAAAATACTGCCTGAAGTTCTGAAGGTTGTTGGGCCTTTCCCACAACCACAGCTCTTAATTGCAAGACCTGAAGCTTTCAGCAAACTCCAGAAGTATCTGCAGTTGTGATTATTTGTCATGTTATAATTATTAACCTGTGAATAATACTGTATCTGCCCCTGTCTCCAGAGGAACCACACAGTAGATTGATGTAGATGTTTAAAAAGCCAGTATTTGTCAGGGTAACAACAGCAGTGATTTTTGTTAAAAACTATGTATGTTTTAAAATTAAACACAACCACATACAGGCTGTTGTTGCAGCATTTCCATGACTCCTTGCTTGTCAGGCCTTCTGATAACTTTAAAATTGGCTAAATTGCAAGAATGAATATTTTAATCCTAGATTGAGTGTGTCAGTTTACATGGTGTAGGTTTTTCACTAGTTCTGTTCTGTGGAGCAAGAACCAAGCTACATTTTAACTCATTTTCCTTGTCAAATGAACTTCCTGAAGACAGGAAGGTGACCAGGAGGCAAAATACATCAATTCCATCACCAGTCTGAAGTTTGATGATAGATTTTTTTTTTGCAACTTTTTTTTTCCTGAAGTTCATGATGTAGCTTGCTTAGAATGAAGTTTTCAAATCTATAGTGGGTGTTTATTCCTTCTACTTGGAAACTATGTAGCTTGTATCAGCCTAAGCAAGGTTTTAAGTAATAAGGGCTTGTGTGTTCCAGTATCAGATTTCAGCACCAAACAATCAATGTAGTACTATGTTTGTTTGTTAGTTTGAAAATATTTGCCTGTAATGTTAAGAGGTGCCTTATATGGTCTTCTCTTTTAAAGGTGGAAGCAGAAAAAAAGAAGCATGTGGTTTAAAGCTACAGAATGTTTGCCCTGAATGTCTGATGCTTTTGAAAATCCTGAAAAAAAAATACAAGTCCATTTCGTGGGATGCTGCTTACATGGAACCTGACTGGGTCTTGCCTCTTTTCATTTCCCAAAGCCACATTGGTGGGGAATGCCCTCAATAGCACGAACACCAGCTTCCCATACTGATTTGGGACAGATTGAATTAATTCCAATCCCAAAGGTTTAAAGTTTGTCTAGGAGCATGTTAAATTGCACTTGCCATCCTTCTTTTCCCTTGAGCTCTTCTTGCTTGTCCAGCCTGGTGCCGTAGCAAGTTAATCTCCCGCGGCAGTGCGCGCCACACAAACGGCAAAAGGCTGGGCACACGTTTTGTTTAAGTGGTTTTCCACCTCCAATCGTATCTTCATTGCCTTGTTCCTGCAGCCCCATTCTGGAGGCCTTTGGAAATGCCAAGACAGTTTATAACAACAACTCCAGCCGCTTTGGCAAGTTCATCCAGCTGCACTTCTCTCAACATGGACACATCCAGGGAGGCCGAGTAACCGATTGTATCCTTTTCTGCAGTGGACCAGAATGGCGTGAGTTAAGATGAGGAGGAGCTGAGCACGGGTCAGGGAATCCCTCATCACAGTTTCTTAAAGCCAGTTTATAACTGTGGGAAAATTTATAATTCTGGAAACCTGTTGTCTAGGTCCTCCATTAGGTAGAGACATAGTTTGACTTTCCACTTTGGCAGTCACAGCACTTGATTCTTAAATCACTGGAATTTACTGCCTAGGAAGATCCCTCACGTTCCTTGCATCCTGTTTTTCCCAGAAGGTTGTTCCTTTATGTTAGCTGTGCAAGTTAATTCATGATTTAGAGAAGCGAGACCAAGCTAAGAACCAGTATATTCTGGATGCAGAGGAGAACAGGAATTTAGAAGACAAATTATGACTCCCTGTTTTGGGTTGCTTATCTCCAATGGACCTTGGAATCTAATCATAGAATCACAGAATATCTCAAGTTGGAAGTGACCCATAAAGATCATCAAGTCCAACTCCCTGTTCCTCGCAGGACTTCCTATAACTAAACCATATGACTCTGACAGGCTCGGTGGTCTGACCACTTCCCTGAGGAGCCTGTTCCAGTGACAAGAAGTAGAGGGAAGACTGGATATAGTTGAATTATGCTGTGCCATGAGCACTTTCTGCCCTGGCAGAAAGGCTTTGACAAATCTTTTGACTACATGAGGCGGCTAAATCTGCCCTGGCTGCATTTCTTGATGTTGATGTTCAAAGCTGGTGGTGACTGCAAACCACACCAATTTCCACTGGAGTAGCAGTCAGATGAATTTACTACTGTTGTAAATAACATGCTTGGATTGTTTAGTCTCTGCTCTTTGTGCTATTGGTAGATTAAAGATAGTGGTTTCTTGCAGAAGCAATGAGAACTGATGCAAGAGTTCCTGTACAATACAGATTTTCAGATTAGAGTGGCCTCTCTAATCTTTTTAGGTGTCCCTAATGTGGCTCATCCTTTGTTAGGTTACCTCACCATTGTGTAGATCCTATGCTTTATCTGACCCTGCCCTTTTAAATATCTGTTTGGTGCCTAATACCGCCTTGGTCAGGGAATAGAGAGGAAGGTCCAAGGTGATACATGGGATCGCTATTTATCCCCTTCCGGAAGTGTCAGTTGTTTAATGATTTGTTGCCTGTTACAGGGTTCATCCCAATGTGTCCAGAAGATTCGTTGCCAGTCATTAGGAGATCTGTGCATGTGTCATTTGAATGTTCTCTCCTTAACATGCTGTTCAGATTTACTGGAAAAGGTAGGTATCACCTCTACCGAATGCTGGCTGAACCCTCTCCTCAAAGTACAGTACGGCAGTGCCAGATCTCCTCCTGGATGCTACTGCCTCTCTCACAGGGCATAGACATTACCTTTTTAGGTGCTACTACTGCAACTGTCCCAACTGAGGAAGAGAGTGGTGGAGGAACAATGTTCTATATCTATCAGAGCCCATTCCCCTCTCATTGATAAAATCTGTGCATTGCAGAGAACCTCCAAGGAAAAGCTGTTTACCAAGGGGAAAGGGAGAGAAGACAAGTACCTGGAAGCTCAGTTTCATAGAGAGGAATACAGGGATGTAACTCCAAGTAGAGACATCTCTGCTCTGATGCAGTTTGAACTTGGAAACTCACGGAGGAGCAGGGCCAGAACTGACGAGGTTCAGTTTTTCCATGCACACACTCCCTAAGTGACTTCAGAGAACATGCTCATTTGCACAGCCACGCATGACAAGAGCTTGGTGTGGAGCTTATTTAGAAAACACCATCACTAAACTGAAAGAAACCCCTCTAGTGCATTGGTCCTGGAGATTTACCTGTATCTTGTTCGTCTCTTTGCCTTTGCAACCATGTGATCTCTTTCAGCTGGCTACTCCCATGTTCTTTGTTTCAGAACAGAGTGGTACATCAGAACCCCGGAGAGAGGAATTACCACATTTTTTATGCTCTTCTAGCTGGTGTGAGTGGGGAGCAGAAAGGTAATTTAATTTTCTGGGTTAGGGCTCTGTCTTCTTTCTAGTCCAGCATGTGAAGGACGTGTAAGTTGGAGCACGGATATTTCAGGTACTTGATATATAACTTTTTTTTGGAGGCTATATGGTGATTTCATGGGAAACATAAAGAGGAGTTGAGAGAAAGAGGCTGAGGGTGTCAGAAATGCTATATGAGAAAAGACACTTTAGGCATTCTGAGCTGCAAGGAAAAATCTGTGCTGAGTGTTGAGGTATTGAAACTGGCCAGGGGCAAAGGAAGGGTAGTAAAGGGTCTTGTTTCAGATGCTGTTGGGAGCTGTTCGAGGATCACAAAGGTTGAACTGACAGACATGCTTTTACAGCAAGCCTCAGTATAGGCAATAGGAGAGATAAGAATTAGAAAGACCAGCAATATAGTGGCATGACTAGAGTCAAACAAAACATGTCTAGTATCTGACAGACATGCTTTTACAGCAAGCCTCAGTATAGGCAATAGGAGAGATAAGAATTAGAAAGACCAGCAACATAGTGGCTCTAGTATCTGAATGAAGGGTTTGTAGCTCTGTACATGAGGAAGGGAGAGGTGGGTCTGGAAGAGGGCATGCAGAGAAAGCAGCAGCTGCAGGCTGTGGAGGAATCCTCTTTGTAGTGCAGCATCCCCTTAACAACATCTGTGTGTGCCTGCCCCAGGCACCACTGAGCACTGAGGGTCGTGCTGGGGAGGTCAGACAGGGGAGCAGGAACATGTTACAGTTGCACTCTGATGTTGAGAGACTGGGCAGTTTCTTTATGCCTTTGTTCTGTGTGCATTAGAGTAATGAGATGGAAGAACTGAGCTTGACACAGAGTGGAAAGGGAGTACGGCTTCAGTTCTGGGGAGTTCATGCAGGAATAGCCACGTAGGTCAATTCAGAGATCCGACTAAAGCAAAGGAAAATAGTGGGGACCATAGCAAGTACTTACGGAAAGCATACAAAACAATTTTCTTCAGCATGTCTCTGCTATTCTTCCCTATCTCCCTTTCCAAGCTGGTGTCCCAGGCTGCTTCATGTCCCCTTACCTGTCATGTGTTTCTGGTTCTTAATCATTCCTGTCTCCTTTCTGCATTGATCTTTCAGTTCTCCTCTGTCCAGGAAATCAAACTTGCAGATAGTGTTTAAGATATGGTTGTGCTGTTGATACGTACGGAGACCTAATTCTGGTTTTATGTTTACTTCTGTGTTCCTTTTAAAACTAAAGGAACTGAACTGCTAATTGCTACATAAATTGTTGCCTTTCTCCTCCCTGCCTGTTTTTCCTTTGATGCAGAGAGCCTCTCCCTCTCTGAGCCAGAGACTTACCGCTACTTGAACCAGTCTGGTTGTGTGACTGATGAGAATTTGAATGACGTAGAGATGTTCAGTAAGGTCATGGTGAGTACTGGCCTAACTCCTCCTGAACTTCTGGGCACAACCTCATGGGCTAAATATGGCACAGGTTCTAGATCTCACAGGCAGAATTTGTTTACCCTAAGACAAAATTTGGCATTCAATAGATCTGAAACTTGACTCTACCTGTTTATGATAAAAGCAAGGCTTGAAGAATGCTTTTAGTCTACAGAAGTGGGGGAATTTGGGAAACAGTCAAGGATTAATAATAACTTAGAATGATGGAGACTTTGGAAAGCATGAGCCTCACCCCATAATGGTCCCTGGAGCTCTTTAGATGGCCTGATGCAGAAAACCTTACACTGACCATTAGAAGGGGAGCCGTTTGGTCTGAAGGTAGTGTTCTGGTAAAGTTGTATCTTGTATGTAAATGGCATATTCTGAAATCCCACTCAGATTTCAGTAGACATCTGTAACTCTACCAGAGGTTATAGGTTTAACAGGATGAATATGCAATTCATGTTTGGTTTGATAACTGGATATTGGCCTGAGGGATTTAATAATGTAGGGGAAATTAGACAAGCAAGGTATGAGGAGTCAGCTTAGGGTTTCTCCTGCTTACATGTGATTTATGGGAAGAAAGTATCTCCCTGTATAGCAGAGGTGTTAGTGGTAACATGGCATTTATACTTCAGCTGAGGAGACACCTGGAGGAAAGAAGGAAACGAGAACCCAGGAGTGCCCCACTGACAGGGTGAATGCATGAGAACTAGGTTCTGCCTCTCAAAGTCAATTTATGCCCCAAGAACCCTGGCTCACACACATGCACTATCTTAATGCGTGCCATACTTCCTCTTTTTTGAGTAACCTGTTTCTAACCTTCTAGCAGTCACTGCAGAAAGCTTAGTTTTAAATGTTGCTGTATAAATCTACTATTCTAAGCTAGAGTAAATTAAGTGGGTTATATGGATCAGAGTAAATTAAGCATATTATATGGATCTGTCCTTCAGGGAAGACAGTAAGGCAGAACGTGGAAGCAGTCCAGTGACATCTGTAACTTGTACTGCCAGTGCTCAGGGAAGGATTTCCTCACACAGGTGCAGACAAACGTGTTCTTCCTGTGACAGGCAGGCAACAGCAGCAGCAAAGTCCAGCTTGAGGACAGGGCAAATGCTCACCTGCCTTAGATGGGGATAAGGTAAATGAAGGAGAGAGGGGGAGACAGTGAAGTTCGTTGACAGATTTATGGCTGAGAGAGAGGCTGTGCCATCCCATTTCACTTTGATTCATGATGACTGTAATTCTGAGTTTTACATCTTACATGGGCTGGTCGTGAGTGTGGTGGTTGCCTTGTGCTGTGGCTGTATGTAGAGCCAACATTAGCTATATGGTTTTGTGTAGACTGCCATGAAGGTGGTGGACTTCAGCACTGAAGAAATCAGAGACATCTTCAAACTTCTTTCTGGCACACTTCATTTGGGAAATGTTGAATTCATGACAGCTGGTGGGGCCCAGATTACAACCAAAGCGGGTAAGTGGGACCCTAGCAACTTGGTAGACCATGTAAAGCCCCCAATAAAGCTCACTCCATTGTCCTTTCTCCCTCTGCTGTGCTAGCGTGCAGTGCCTTTGCCAGCAGATTCCCCGTAGTTTAACCCTGCTAAAGCACTGCCACCAAATGCATGGCTCCAGAGCACTGGTATGATTTAGTTGGGCTGTGGCCCTGTGATCCATTTGTCCTCCTGGATACTCTCAGACTGAGTCCACAGTATCCCAGTTTCTCTTTTGCATTGAAAAAGCAGGAAGAAATAGGAAAAGAGAGGAGTCTGAGGTAAGAGTAGTCTGTTACAGACTTTCCCTCATCTTCCTTTGATGCATCTGCTAGTGCACACTCTGCTACAGTTATCCAATCTGAGCTGATCTGGTGAAGTGAATCCCTAAACAGACAGAAGCAATAAATATATGCATTACAAACGTTTCAAGTCTTAAGTTAATTGTATGTCTTCTTGACATCCAAATTTAGCAATCCAGTGCTCAGACTTCACTATTGTGCCTTTAGGAAAACGTATCTTCTCATTCAGTAAATATTTTGCTGGTCCTGAGCCTTACACAGTGCTTTACTCTTCCTGCTGTCGGGAATATCTGACATATGAATATCTGATGAATATGTATGAATATCTGATGAATATGTCAGATATGAATATCTGACTGTGGCCCATAATAGGTGCTGAGCCTGTCTCAGACTGGGTATGTGAGCTTACAGCTTTGGGTATGCCAAAGAGAATTAAGTAAAGGGGAGCGTGTTTGTGCTGGGGCTTAGCCACTTACCTTGTAGGAGTCCCTCACTGAGCTGCAGAATATAGATCCCCCGTGAGTGATGGGGATCCCTGCAGGAGAAAAAAGTGTGTCCTCCTTTGTTACTAGTGCTGAACATTGCCAGTGACCTCCTGGGCTTAGACGCCTTTCAGCTTTCTGAAGTACTCACTCAGAGGTCCATGATTCTGCGTGGGGAAGAGATCAGCTCCCCTCTCACCGTGGAGCAGGTAAGTGTCCAAGTGTGTGTTACTGCTTCTGTCACTTCTGCATTTCCAGATCCTTTGTCTCCCTCTTGTAACCTCCGCTCAAGTTCCAGTTGCCTCCCATGGTGCTTCTGTGTCCTCAAGTACTTTGCTTTTATTGGTGGTTCACATCCTAATGATGACTCTGCTTTTTAGGCTTTATAGGGCAGTTCACTTGCAAATGGCAATACACAATACTGGTTTTAAGTCACCTTTACTCACCCGGAATTGGTCTTGCTTGTGTCACACAGAAGGTACATCAGATGCTATGTGGTAATTGCATGTGTGCATGCTTTTACCTTGCAGAACTCCCAGGTTACGCTGCATTTACTGGAAGATAAAAGCTTGCACACAGTTGCCATGAAACATCTGGCTGATGGTAGGTTGTTACTCCACAGTAGCTTCCTTGTGTATCCATACAGCCACAAAGGAGAACTGAATAAACTGATAATGTAGTTCTCATCTTCTGAATCTCTACTGCTGGAGCCAGTCGTGCTTATCTATTACATTTCTCTGTGGTTCATCACAGTATTGTGCCTACTAACTTAAACTGGTAGTGTTGCTGATCACTTGAGGGCACTCTTGGTGTTTTAGGTCCGTGCAGAGATAACTGTAGAGAATCTTCTGTCATTAATAAAATGCGAGACACCAGGAAACCAGTAATATTACTAGGATGGAAGAAGCATCGTCCTATAGCAAAATGAACATCTGTAACGGAAATCTTGTACTGGCATGGACTGCAGAGGGTTGTCAACCAAGCCCTACGTTGGCAGAGAAACCAGAATTACTAGGTTCTCTCTGATGCATGTCTGTCTAACTTTCCTTTAGATTTCCCATGGAAGGAATTTCACAGCCTCTTTAAGTATCCTGCTTCAGCTGCAGTGGAGTCTGAAGCTGGAAAGATTTTCCTCATATTTAGATTACCATTGACATCCCAGCTGTGCACCTTATAAGCTTCCTCTTTTGTGAAGTTTTTCACATGGTATACTCTTTCCTAAGCTAAACAATCCAGTTCCTTCAATGTTTCTTTGCAAGTGATTTTCTAAATCTCTTCTTCTGTCTCTGTTTTCCCACATCTTTCAAGAAGTAGAGTGCTTATTACTGGACAGTATATTCAAGCTGAAGTCTCAGCAGTGCTCATTACAAGAGAGTAGTCATTTCTTTTCTTGCTGCAAACACACTTGTTATTGTATCACAAACTCAGGTTTGCCGTTAAGAAATCATGTCCTTTTTTTTCATGGTCTGTGACCTTTCTTTGCAATGAAATTGTGTGAAAATTATAGCCTGTGGTAGATAGTCTCAGTACCCAGTACCGCAGTTTCTCTTCTCTGCTGTCCATCCTAAATAAACCACATCTTTCTATATCAGTGCAGCAGGAAGGATAACAAATAGTGCCAGAGACACTCAGTCAGTTCAGAGCAACAGTGCACATTTGTAGCATTTGCAAGAGTCTCACTGAACAGAACTTTCCCTGACAGTGAAGCTATTCCTGATGTTTGTGCATGTTGGATCCCACACGTACCGGTGAAGTAATAAAACTGCAAGTAAATTGTTGTAGCAGGGGGATGCTACTACTTGCTGTCTCTGCTAGGTAAGCCTGTTGCACTGAGCACTGGGCCTGTAAAGACTGTTCCCTCTTAAGCCCTCATTCCCAGTGAGCCCACCTATTCCCACTTGTTGTAGGAAGGCATTGATAGAGCTGCCAGGGATTTCTCATTGTGCGATGAGCTCGTTACCCATCTGAGCTTTGACATTTCAGTGGGCTGAATGGATGAAGTGGCCCGAAGGCGGGCAAAGCTGGGAGGATGAAAGGAGCCTTTGAGGATCTCGTTTGAGCCACATTGTGGGGAAAGCAGCTTTGCTTACAGCTGGGTGGGGAGGTCCTGCTCCTGGAAAATGAGTCCAACTTACTGTGTAGCCAGAGACACTAGAGAGGCATGGCCTTGAGGGCATTCTCAGTCCCAACTAACAAGACAGACCATCTGACAGAGAAAAGAAATACTCAGAAAAGGTGTGTGTGCCCATGCTTTGAAATGTTCTCTTCTGTGGAGGAGGGAGGTTGCTATGTGTCCCTGGCCTTGGGCTACCGGAGAGGAGATGCTACCCAGGACCTGAAAGAAGGAAAAAGATCCAGTGAGATTCAGTTAAAAGGACGATCTTGCAGGCTGGGCCTCAGGAGCTTGCTGGTAGGGTTCAAAGTTGGCCTGTGCCATTAGCACAGCAGAACGGGAGACACTGTGTTACTCAGGCTTGCAAAACTGAAGAGAATGAGGGTACACTTAGAAGATCTCTGCCACTGCTGGTCAGGCCTATTGAAGGAACTACCCTGGTGTCACTGGCAAGACAGAGTAAACAACCTGCAGTTGATATAAATAAGCGGGTTTTTTATGAAATGACAAAATTATATCTGGTTATTATTCCGCTTGATCATTTCACATACCTGCTCACTCACCCCTCAGCAGTAATTTCATTAGGTGTCAATTTCTTTTCCCAGTTGGGAGATTGCCACTTGTCCAGGAAGGTTGAGCAGAAAGTTGTGTTGGTCCATGTCATGTAGCTCCTGGCAGTTATCAGTCTCAGGAAGTACCAGCCAAGGTTCTTAGGCATACCTTGACATTTGTCTTCACATGTCTCTGATCTCCAGGAGCTTTCCCCACTTCCTGCATCTTTCTTCCAGTGAAGATCTTTGCCATCTTCTTTCCTGGCCCATTTTTCTACTTTCTGGGGTCACGTCTTCTTTTTGGGAATCCTTATTTTTTACCTCCTCTTCTTTCCAGAAACCTAAGCCTTGATTTCCCAGCCTAAACAGTCTATGTGCAGAAGGACAGCACGTGATCAACCTCTTAATTTGTGGTTCTGACTCATGTCTCTCTATTAATTGGAAGATTTGGGGTGTGCCGCGTTTGTTTAGTCCAAGGGTTATTAAAATTTACAACCAGCTCGTTCCTGTTACAGCTATTAAGTGGCAGGCTTTCGCACAAGATTTCAAAAGTTTGATTTTGGACATTCATCCACACACTTACATACACACGATTATCTACTGCCTGTTAGTGATCGCAATTTCAGTTATTTTTTCCACCTTGGACACTTGGTTATGAGTACTGCGTGGGACACTGGGTCAGCTTCAACCCATCTCTCAACCCATGCTCTTTTAGAACAAGTGTCCTGGCTATTGGCCGGCTTAACTGGCTTCCAGTAAGATAATGCTGTTTGCAGGAAAGTTTTGGAGAGGGGATTTTTGAGGGTAACTTGGTGTCAGAATACTCTATTAAATCCTGCCCTACCAGTTTTTGAAAATCTGAGCGGACATCCATTTGACAGACCTGCTAGAAGTACTGAACCGAGGTACCCTGCCTGTCACTGCATATGTTGGCTCAGGTGACGCAAATGACTGCTGTGGGCATAGTCGTGAGGTATTTTGCCACCTTCCCTGCCCCAACACTTGTTTCAAAAGATGTCAGTGGTTTTTGTACTTCCTTCAGCCTCTCATGTTCGGTTACCCAAAGGTCATACATGGTATCTCTGTGTGTGGCTGGGCTGTTTGCAAACGTGAATGTTGACTGTACACATAAATACTGCACCGTAGATATCTGGCACAGAGGCCAAGACATCTGAAGAGGAGTGAAGGAACCTTAAGTCTCATAGAGATTTGTGATGCCCCTTGTGCCTTTTCTTCTCCCTGTGACTCATTTTTTCTCTCTCTGTTTACAGGCAGCTGACTCCAGGGACTCTCTCTCTATGGCACTCTATTCCCAGTGTTTTTCATGGCTCATTAGCAAGATTAATACAAAGATCAAAGGCAAGGAAAACTTTAAGTCTGTGGGCATCCTGGATATCTTTGGCTTCGAGAACTTTCAGGTCAGGATTTTGTTTTTTGCAAGGTGGGTTGATTTTGGAGATGTCAGTGCATATAGGAAGGAGTTTTGGTTGGTTCATATGTGCTGTGATAGGTAATACTGAATTTTTGACTTGTAAAAGAATTAAATGTCCAACTCCTATGTTCATGTTGATTTTTTATATTGTTATTTTGCCATGTGTTGAGAATCCTGTGTATAGTGCTTCTGATTGCAGCTGTTGAGGGATGTGTGTTGAACAGCCACATAGTGACTGCTCAGATATTTCACAGAAGAGAAAGACCAGTGACCTAACACTTAGGTCATCATATTTTTGTCTTCTTAACAAGAAGAGATATGTAATTGTCTTTGGCACCTTCTACTACCATTTCTGCCTACTGAATTGACCTTGCATGAGCTACAAAACCTGTTCTCCTAGTGGACCTCCCCATACTGTCCTCCTCATGTCCATCTGGCTTTTTTCCAGGCCTGGCACCTTACCCATCACTGCTATAGATTCTTGTAGAGCCCAGGGACAAGAATGCCAAGTCTTATAATTTTTATTTCTTATTACAGGTGAATCGTTTCGAGCAGTTTAACATTAACTACGCAAATGAGAAACTCCAGGAATATTTCAACAAACACATCTTCTCCTTGGAGCAGCTGGAGTACAACAGGTGACAAAGGGGGGGAGTGAGGCCCCTGTTGCCATCATGGGTGGTAGAACGGAGGACATCATTCCTCCTTTGTGCTGTCCAGTCCTTGCTTATGGTAGGAGAGGCAGCTGGGACTTAGTGCAACCCTGACTGTGGATGTGTCTCTGTAAGCACTGTCCTTGTGCTTTGCCGGCATAGGTCACTTGTCTCCAAGCAAAAGCTTTCTCCCTTGGAGTATTTAGACAGTCCAGATTCCCTTCCATATCTCGGCTGAATGGGAAGATCTTGAGCTTTAACCCACTCACAGGCCTTATTACTGTAATTATTCACCTAAGATAGTGGTGGTGTTACTCAGGTGGAATCTTGGTGTGCAAAAACTAAAGCCCCTAAAGATAGATAGTAAGATACTTGACAGCTCTTTCTGTCTTAGAGATTCCTATGCTGTGAAAATGGCTCTTTTCCTCATCCAGGAGGTTTAAATTAGGCTGTTTCCTGAGCTTAAAGAGAATGGAGCCTTCTGCACAGCTGTTTCTGTTCTGTGGGCTTCATATTAGATTGTATTTTGTGAAGTACCTAGGATGTTCTAGAGTGTTTCTGCTTCTAGAGAAGGCTGCTAGACAAATACTTCAGTTCTTGCTCTGAAACAGTAGCCTTTATGTTTGTGAATGAAGCAATTGAATAGGGTCAGTGAGGGCAAAGGCGAGCGCCTTGTGAAGGGAGGCAGTTGAATAGGCAATTCATTAAATTCTAAAGATTACAGAACTGCAATGCTATTTATGTACTCACTTCTCAGGCCAGTTCCACCATTGCAGGAAGCTTGTGTTAAGAATGGTATCATCGTGACAAAAGATTTTTTCCTGATGATTACGAGTTGAAGATCTGCGGCTGAACTTTGAAAAGAATGAGAGAGTTCTGTTATTGACTACTCATCGAGTTGTTCTAGGGTGATGTGCTTGAAGCTCATCTTTTACAGTATCAGTTCTGCTTCCTCAGGTTTATTAAGTAGCTCTATGTATTTTATCATTCAATTAGACAAGAGGTCTGTGGCACTAGAGACAACTTTATTCATTTGTGATTTGATTTTTTCAGGAAAGTGCTCCTTTCAATTCCGGAAGGTTGTCTTGCTCTTAGAAAGAATCCAGGAGATCATTTTTGTAAAAATATACAGCCTCTCTGACACGCATTGTTGCAAAAATCCAAAACACTGTGAACTGATATTTTCTGTCATTAAGTGGATGAGACATTCCATTCCCTGTGGGAAATAGATAGTTCTTTACATTCTTCTGAAATTATTCCAGTTTGTTGCTTCCGACTGTTGCCCACAGGTTTCTGAATGCTTTGAGCCTGAAAGTATGAAGCCTAGGCTGAAGGGTTTGTAAACAGCTTCACTGCCTTGAAAATGTTAGCCTTCACCTGAAAGGTGTCTGTGTCAGAATGCCAGTAAGTAGCTTCACACATAGGCTGTAGTCTTCCTTTGACTCCTGAGCAAGAGTTATTCCCAGGCTCCTCTGAATCCTGAAGACAGAAACCGCCTGTGTTGTGGGAGTGTAAGAAGGTGGTAAGAAGGGGGAAAACACATTCAGCACAGATTTAAAGAACTTCATGTATGATTTTCAAAGCACACTTATGACATCAGCTCCCATTCGGAAAGACGCAAGGCCACCCCGTAGGTCACCTGCATGTCAGGCCAAAGCTTATCTGCATCATCCTCTTCAAAATGTTCCCTGAAAAGTTGCTCCTGTCTCTTCTTCTGGTGGACCTATGAATTGTCGTTCAGTCCTGTCTGGCAGAGATGTGCTTCAGGCCGGCATTCCAGACTGGTGGGTCAGCAGTTGACTCTCTGTAGCAAACTGTCCATCATCACCGCCACTTGGGCTGATGCTCATCACTCTGGAAACAGCAATTGAGAGCAACTAATTTCTTAGTGCTTGGTGTGGAATTTGCTCAATGGCTGTAAGATGATCATCAGTCCAAATCACTGGGAGGCATAAGAAAGGCTGTCTCCTACTTCCATTTCCTTGTGTTAGCACTGCCTCGTGTGTCCTATTCTTTTTCCTCAGCCATGGCAAAGCTGAATTCCTGCAAATTGTCTTGAGTCCTGGGACAGCTGCTGTGCTTAATTACTTCTGTTCTTCTGAACCTCGGGGCATTGAATCTTGCATTTCACATTTTCATTCTGTTTGTTCTTGACTGTCAGGGAAGGGATAAACTGGGAAGCCATTGACTGGATGGATAATGCAGAGTGCCTGGACCTTATCGAGAAGGTAAGCAGTTATCTGTGACAGTTTCCAGAGATCACAGCAGGGACTGCTGATTGTCTTGAAACCTTCCCTGGGATTTCCTGGTTTTAAAAACATGTAGTTGCTTAGATCCTCTTCCCATCATGACCTAGCAAAAGTATGCTGGCAGAAGTCTAGTCATAGTCTCTGCTCATTGTTGAGAGTAAGCTTGGGAAAGGCATCATAGTTTTAGACCGGGAGCAGCATTTAAATAAAACCTTAATGGAGATTTTTATAAATAATCTCCACTTTTGTTCTGCTTGCTGAATGCATTGTCTGGCCAGAATTCTGCTTTCAGCTCGAGCTTTGCTGGGAGTAACTTTAGGGTTGTCGCTCAGTGTGCTGTCCAGATCTCCAGTTCTTGGCTTGGTGCTGTGTAGTTAGAGCTTTTACTGACTTTGAGAGCCCATCTCTTCTTTGGCTGCAGAAACTGGGTCTACTGGCTTTGGTGAATGAAGAGAGTCGATTCCCCAAAGGCACAGACAACACCCTTCTGGAAAAACTTCACAGCCAGCATATGGTAAGTAAGAAAATAACCTGGCAGGCAAATGATCAGTATGTTAGCCCCATCAGCATCTCAAAAATGAAAGTGAAGGTTTTGTTGATGTAAAATATGTGCTTTCTGCAGGAAATTTGAAATGCTTTAGGCCCAGACCTGCGAGTGTTTAGTAAGGCTGCACTGAACAAAAAGTAGTGCGTGAAGAAGCCTGCAAATGTTCTCTTGCGCATGTAGAGAGAGGGAGCGTGCATTCTGCAGGCTGTAGGTAGAGCAGATCTGAGTTTGTAGCATGGGATGGAGGTCAGGTCCTGCTGGTCTGCGATGGGACGTGGGGCAGCGCTCTAGGCACAGGATGCGTCTGCCCAGCGTGCCTGGTTTCTCCTGCCAGCTGACTCGCAGGAGTCTGCTCCAGAGCATGTCAAATCTCTGTCTCCTGGGGCTGGGGACAGCTTTTGCCTCATGACTTTTAATGAAAACTCTCTTATTGTTCCTAATTAATTAAATTTTTTCCTCCTCTTTCTTGTATTTGGGACACAGGAGTAGAAGGGCTTTTTCATGCAGGTCAGAGAGTTATCCTGGGGACACAGAAACCACTGGAGCAATCTCTTACCCTTTCTCTGGTATAGCCAGCACTATTCTTCTTAATAGTAAATAGACTGAAACCAAAGCAAATTAAACCCTGTAGCAGGGACTAATGGAATAATTTACTACTTTAGTAAGAATTTTATCAGCTAATATGCTTCCTAGTCCTCTAACTCAGGCTTCATCCAAGCCTGAAAACATAGAAATTTGTATTCTTTATCCAACTTTTTGTTTTAATTGGCATAGATGCGGCTATTTTCATTTTTCGTATTTGCATCTAACTCTGCTAGTAATACTCATGACTACAAATTGGATACAATAGCAGTGACTTTGGGTTGGCTACTTACATGTACTTTTGTGGAAATATTTCCTTTCTTTAGGCTTAAATTAATGCCTTCAGTTTAGTCTGCTGTGGCTTTCCCTTGTATTATACCTCACGGAACGTGAGAATGCCTGATTTACCTTTTTTATTTTTGTTGGCATTTTGTTTAACTTTTAATACAGAACTTGTGAATGTTTTTAATCCACCACTTCTTTTGCATTTTCTTTCTGAACTGTCCCAACCTCTTCAGTTTGTCTCCAAATGGAGAAACTTCAAAGCTCCTCTTTCTCTGCTGTTTATCTCTGAATTCCTCTACATCTTTTCTCTATTCTTTTCTGAGATAATCAGACCAGAATGCAGTTCCCTTGGTAATAAGGTACCTGTGCACCTTGTTAAGCAGCATGAGATTTTCAGTATTATTTTGCATTTCTTTATGCCCCATAACATTTTGGTTGCTGGTTTTGGTGATTTCTGTGCATTGAGTGGCCTTTTCATTAAGCTGTTCATAGTGTCACCTTTGTCTGCTTTGAGGGGATAGTAGTTAACATGGAACCTTAGGAGCTTACAAGAGACAGAAGAGGCTGAGGAGCCGAAATGCAGGAAGGAATGATTAGTTGGGTAGTGCGCTGGAGTTTGCATTTGTCGAATGCAAAAAAGGGTTTTATACCACATAAATTCTCTTAGTGCAGTCTGGAAGAGCACTACAAGGCATCCGGCCAGTGATGCTGGAAAGCCTGAAGGATGTTTTAAGAGAATAAGCCCTCTTGTCTGTGTTTTCTGTAGATTGCAGTAAGCTTAGGGATGAAAAGCACAGAGCTGGGATTTAAGACAATGTGGCCTCTGATACAACTCCGCAGAGGACCAGTAGGGTAGATGGGAGAAGGAACCAGAAGTGTTGTAGGTGTGGATGAGGGTAGAGAGGGAGAGGAGAGGAAAGGAGAGGAGGGTACCAATCCACATGAAAGAGTCAGTAATGGTCATATCTGGAGTGGAAGAGAGGTAGGTTTGTGGCTGGATTGGGGAAAAAGAAGAGCAAAGAAATGGGGGTCAATATAAAAAAGAAAAAAAAGCAATGAAAAAGTTTTCAATAGCAGTAACAAATTAGCAGGGTCAGAAACTGCCGACCCGATACTGCAAAGAGAACTTGAAGATGAAAGAGCTGAATTACTAATAGTATTGTGCAACATCTTACTTAAAACTTTCTCAGTACTTTTATGTGAGAAGGTGAGAAATTATTTTAATTTTTAGAAAGTATTCTAGGAAATTATAGGCCTGTAATCCTTATTTCACTATTGGGTAAGTGCACAACATATAAACGGTCAGTTACCTCAGTGGCGGGAGGCACATAAGACTGTCTCATATGAGCACTGAGGCGGCAGTTTTCTGATGATTCACGAGGCAAGGCTGGACTGAAAGGAGCCTTATGAGACTGATTGAGCTGTAAAATGAAGATGAAAAGCAGTGTAGATAAATGCAACATGGTATGTCTGAAAGAAAACAGTCCCAGTTTCACATTTGAAATGATGAGCCCAGAGCTGATTCCTGCTCTTCAGGAGCAGGACCCAGACAGAAGCTGTGGTGGAGGGTTCCATGTAAGCATCAGCATGGTGCTCACTAGTGATAAAAACCCCATAGATCAAGTATTACAAATTCCTGGGAAAGAAACAGAATAAAAGCAGAAAGCGTCGTTATGGAACTGTATAATCCATGGACCACCTGCACTTTGAACAGCGTACACCACCAGGCCCCTCTGCTCAAGAAGGGATTATATTTGCTCTGCTAAACAGACAGCTTCAGTGTTATGGAAAACTATGCTGGAAGGACACTGCAGTGTGGAGAAAAGGTGACTTAGGGGGGATGTGATGAGTTTAAAAGTCACACATGGCCAAAAAAGACAAAAGGCACTAATGGGAGTCGAGCTTAAAGCCAGTCAGCTATAGTTCCTTGTGTGATTGGTTGGAAGCTCCCTGCAAAAGGATGCTCTGGATGCAGTGGTCACACAAAGTCTACTTGGGTTCAAGTGTGCAATGGGCAAATATTTAAAAAAAGAAATCCGCTTTGGGTTACTAGTTAGGCAGACCTCATGAAGATCATTGGAATTTGAGAGAGTATTAGGATGAAAGTATTATTTACTTGCTTTGTTGTTACTCTGCCCTACATAACCACTGCTGGAGGCAGAATACTTAACTGGATGGACCACTGATCTCAAGCAGCATGGCTGTTCTTACATGGTTAATGGTTTTCAGAGAACAAAGAAAGGAGGAGAAAAATGAGAGAGTAGAACAGCTAGTAAGAGAAAGGAAGAAATAGCGTTGAGAAAAGGGGAAGAGAGGTGCAAAGAAAGATGGGAAGAGAGGTGCAAAGGAAGATGAAGTATAGAGGAAGACAAGAGATTGATGTGATATTTCCTTTGACAAAGAAAAGGTGTGTAGATGTTCTGCAAAGCTGCCATCTTCCCCTGCATCCTGATCCCATGACCTGCACCACGTGGTTTGTGTGGGAGCCCAGTCTCCTCAGGTGTCAGATGCGCAAGAATTAACATTTCATCCATGGCATGCCTGCCCAACCTTGATTCTGCAAGCCCTTGCTCACGTGAGGAATGCCTTCAAGGGCTGAACGATTCCATCTTATTGGAATAACAAATTTGTAACAGAGCTGCAGATAGCTGCAGCAGGTGTGGTTGGGCTCTGCAACAACTAAGGTCCTTGTCTATCCCAGCGCTGTCATAGTCATGGAAGAGTTCCTGACCGAGCCTGTTTTGTCCTACACTATTTTGTCTTACACTGATGTTATAAAAAGACTTCTTCTTCCTTTGTTTCAGAGCAACCACTACTATGTGAAGCCTCGCGTGACAGACCATCAGTTTGGCATAAGACATTATGCTGGGGAGGTAGGTGTTCATGGTGCATCTGTGAGATTCTTGATGTATCTTGTGCTTGAGGTCTCGGATTTTAGATTTCAAAAAACAGTAATATCTCTCTGAGTTGTGTGTTTGCACACAGTTAGTGCCCTGTATCAGAGCACAGGGAGTGTGATGGGCTTAAAATAGTGTGCCATTCTGCAGTACTGTGTTCTCCAGCGTAGGCATTTGTTTGAGTTTCTCAGGTTACTTTTAGTTTGGGAGATAAACTCTGCCATACTCGAGTTCATAGAATCATAGAAAGGCCTAGTTATTCGTGTCTTTTCTTGGCCATTCAAAAACAAAAAACCCCAACGTAAAAGTCACAAGAAAAATTTGGCTTTTGGGGAGAAGGAAAAAAGGCTAAATACCTATTGCAAAAAGGAAACGGTCACCAAGCTTTCCAAGTTAAATGCTGCTCTTGTGGAGAGCTACAGGGCAGATGGAGATGTGTCAAAGGAGGGCACCTGTGCACTAAAGAAGGGCTAACCTCCCCCTAGAATCATATCTACTGAGCACTACTGGTTATTAATAAATTTGCCTCTTGGCACATGCCTGTGGTGTTACCGTGTTGCTTTGCTGGAGGTCGTGTACATTGGCATGTTCATGCAGAAGTGCTTAACGATTTGTGTGGTGCTGTTCTAGTGTCTCTGTTGGCATTGCAGGTGCTATATGATGTCAGAGGCTTTCTGGAGAAGAACAGAGACACCTTTCGAGATGACATTTTAAACATGCTGAAAGATAGCAGGTATGCCCCTTTATGTTTGCGAGGAGGCCACAGCTCTTGGGCTGGGTTATTCATGTAATAATCAGACCAAGGAAAGCAGTTATGTTTGCCTGAGCATCAGGCATCATTCTTTATCGTTCTTCTGTTTCTGCTTAAGTGTCCTGGCAAAAGAAAGGAGAAACAGAGAAGTCAGATGAGGTACAGATTTAATCAGTGCTCTTGTCCCAGTTTTGAAAAGAGTTACAAAAGCGTGACAAAAATCCCTGCAGGCAGTGCTAGTTTTCTCCTTCCTCTCTTCTCCCTTTCCTCATCCTCCTCTTACCTCCCTGTTCATCAATGGCAAATTTGCCCCTGAATGAGTCAAGGCTCTTTGCCATGCTGTCAAATGCCAGCCTTTGTACAGAGACCACTTGTTTTCCAGCCTGCTTGTTAGTGAAGAGCTTCTGTCCTTATCCTGAGCCAGACTGAGCCCTTGCTGTGAGATATGGCCCCAAAGACGATATCCCAGTGCTGCAACACGACCCTAGAGAAATGAGTTGACTTTGACTTTGGGCAATGTCTGGAAGACAGAGGTGGGGCCTAGAAGAAGGAGACAGGCATTTAATAACATGGAGGACCCTAGAAGTTTTTCTGTTGCAACTCTACCACAGCCCATGTATTTCCTCTGAGCTCCAGCCTGATGAGACTGTTTCAGAACTGCATCTTCTCTGGAGCTTGCTGCAGAGTTTGCACTGTGAGAAGCCTTTAAACAACCTGTGGAAGCTGGGAGTACGAGCTGCCCGTAGCTGGCTTATGTGGACAGTGACATCTGGGGAACATTTTCCACTGGGCTTGACGCCAGAGTTGTGGTCGTCATTGTCCAGAATAATAGAAGGACTTGGGGTTTTTCTACAAACCAGGAAGGGAAATTCTCCTAGAAGCGGTCATAACAATAAAACGGCACAAGCAGTGCTGGAGAATTTTGTGCAACTTCTTAAGAACCAGCAGCACCATCTAAGGAGTGGCAAGATGGTGAAAGATTCCTCAGAGCTGACCTACACTGGGGGTAGCTCTAGAAATCCTCTGGCCACAGAAGGTTTGTGGTTGCAGTTGTGTGAACAAGCCACAGGAGGTGGCCATGAGAGCCAGGTCAGGAGGGACATGACAGCACTCAGTCTAGATTCAAGGTAGCTTTGCCTGGAGGCATATATCTTAAGAGAGGTGTCCTAGCCAGTGCAGAATAGAGATCTTCCTTTGCGTAGTATCCTGCTTGACAGTGTGAGATGGGGTTTCTGGCTTTGCAGCCGAGTATGGCACACAGGGCACCCCGCAGGGTCTGGACAACCACATGGAAAGTATTAATTTCCTCACCAGAGCGCCCAGCTGAGCTGTCTCCTGCAGCCTCTCCGTGGCACGGCAGGAATTAAAGTGACGTGTTTCACAATGGGACAGGGCAGTAGCTGAGACTGAGAGCCATCTTCTCACAGGTGGTGGGTGTCTTGCATCTTCTTTAATTCTTTTCTTCTCCCTTAGGCTGGACTTCATCTATGACCTTTTTGAAAAAGTCTGCAGTCGTTGCAGCGAGGAGACACTGAAGATGGGCACCCAGAGGCGCAGACCGACTGTCAGTTCTCAGTTCAGGGTAGGATGTTTTCCAAGAGAGCAGCAGGCTTCTGGGGAGGAGCAGATGGGTAAAGCAAGGCCTGCAGCCAAGAGGAGTCATTCATCCTTGTTTTGTGTCCAGCACTGAAAATGTGCAGGAATGTTGTAGTGCTAAAAAAAGACTGTGCCACTGCCCCAAGGATTTCTGTCTGGTGTAAAACGTGAGATACTAAGGTTGAGCAGGGTGGCAGAGGAAAAGAATCCTTTGTGAAGTATATGAACTTCTTGAGGGTATTTGATCTTTCATGTTGGTTTGGTCTTTCAGCTAAGTGTGCATGTCCTTTTAGGCCACATCTTTTACAGGTATAGTGGCAGTTCTAATAAAACCTTATTGGGGGAACCTTGGAGGTATGAATCTCTCCCCCTCTCCCTTGATTGTCTGCAAACCTGTTGGTTTCACAGTTTGAGTTTGCTGTATTTCAAGTTTGAGGCTTGTAAAAATAACTCATATCAGCTATACATCTCTGAGAGCAAGGATGACCATGTCAACAGTGTTAGAGCAAACTGACTTGTGGGCAGGAAGGGATCTCCTGGCTCGTTCAAGTTTTGATAGGTAGAGTCAAAGGACATTAGGAATGGGAGAGCTGCATGAAGACCCTATTGCACCAAATGTAGCCCCTTTCCTTCCTGTAGTGACTGATCCTTTGGGTTTTGTCTTGCTGCTTTTTAGGATTCTCTCCATTCTCTGATGGCCACGCTTAGTACTTCCAACCCATTCTTCATCCGTTGCATCAAACCAAATACAGAAAAGGCAAGTCTGTCTTCCAGCAAAATGTATGCATGTGACACAGGCCTTCAAGAGCACTCGCTTGCACAAATGCCTGACAAGTGCCTCTGGGACAGGGTCCAAGCTGAGGATAAGAGCATTTCTCCATTACCTTCCCTTTTTTCCTTCTTGTTGTTTTAAAGTTGAGGAAAAATACACCCTCTTTCTGGTAATCAGATGAAAAGACTGCATGCTGAGCATGATGTGATATGAACCGATAGAGCCATTCCCACCTCTTTCTGTGCTTATGAAGCCTGGAAGGTGAGCCAGGCTTGTGCAGGGCCCTGAGCCGTGGTGGAAGAAGCAATTGCTCCTGTTTGTGGTGCCTGTAGATGATTTGTTCTGGAATGCGGGGCTTGTGCATTAGGAAGCATCTCCTGCAGATCCCTGCCTCTGAGGCAGAGGGGTTGGACACTTGATGAGCAAGTCACAGTGCTTAGAGACAGTCTGGATCTCACTTTTATTGTGAACTGTGACGGGAGGATCTGCTGCTAACTAGGTTGGGTGGGGAGCTGTGAACCGATCATTTGTGCATTTTCAGCCATGTTTGATGGGACAGAGGAAAGCCTGCTGGGGCTTTTGTGCCAGAAGAGACTTCTGCAGTTTGTCTCCACTTTGACTGGAGGGAGACGGTGAAGAGAACTGAGTCAGAGCTCTGCGTTTTGTATGTGTTAAAGCATTATATCATTGCTTTACTGCCATGATCCGACTGTGACAGCAGTCTGCAGACTGCTTTTTTTCCCCAGGATCTACCAGACTCCGTTTTTCCCTTTCTCTGCACCACGCAGTGTTACGAGGTTGTATTGTTGTGAGGTTGTTATGAGGTTGCTTTCCCCTTGTCCAAAATGTTTCACCTGGCGTGCCCAAATATACAGGGCTGACTTTCTACAAAGAAACAAATATACAACTGCCTATGTTCAGAGGAACAGTCACTGGGCAGGTCAGCAAAGAAGCGATACCAACATTTATTCTGTCTCTCTTGTGTGTTTGAATCTGGATCATTTTGTAGGCACCAAACCTCTTCAATCCAGATGTGGTGCTAAATCAACTCCGGTATTCAGGGATGCTGGAGACAGTGAAAGTTCGGAGAGCAGGTTTCCCTATACGGCGCCTTTTCCAGGACTTTCTCAGCAGGTAATTGCTATCATTGTACCACGTGCTGTAACATCCCTGAGGTATATGATCCTATATGTTTGTTTCCTCTATTACCGGTATGGATCATTTGTGGGATGTTTTTCTAACTGTGCCCATATTGCTCATATCATAGACTGATTTTTATGGCCTTTTGGAGACATGCCTTTAGGGTAAAAGTCAGAATAGAAAAATTACCAGACAGCCCATTTTATAATAATTTTTTTTTGTGTAGCTTTGCCACAGATTTTCTTGTGTGATGCTGTGAAACCCAGCTGGTCATAATATGTAAAAAGAAAATATCAAACTTAAAACCTTTAATCCGGCAGGCTGAAGCAAATTTTAACGGACAGTATAGCTGATGATTAGTATTGGAAAGAGTGATTATTTCTTTTAATTAGCTGCATCAAAAGGATTTCTTGAAGTTTAAGGCTAGAAGGAGCCATTGAACATTGCTTCCTTTGTCCTTTGGAGCATTAAATGCCCCCCCTATACTGAACAAAATATCTTGTGCCTGATGAAAACACATGTTTCAGAAAGACAGTTGTTCTTTACTGAAAAATGCTGTTGAGTTTGTATTTTATTACTGGGATTGTAACAATAATGGCCAGTGTGGTAGGAACAGATAAAGGTTGGGGGATGGAAATTTCCAAATTGGAAGGCAAACACGAAGAAGGGAGGGCCCAGAGGAAGAAGGAGGAACGGGAGGAGGATAACTAGAGTTAAAAGATTGGGTTAGGGTGGCTGCAGGTTATTGTCGTACATGACCTCATGAGATTTTGTTTGGTTCTTAGGTACAAGATGCTTGTGAAGGGACCAAGTTTCTCAGACAACAGCAAAGCTGTATGTGCAGGCTTTCTTCAGATGTATGACAGCAGCAAGAAAGAATGGCAGCTGGGTAAAACCAAGGTACTTTGTCAGTGTGGGACAGGGTATGGCTTTGTCCCAGCTGTGAGGGGATGTGGTTGCATCTGGCGAGATACAAGCCAGTAGAAAGGGCAACGTTATGATGACCCTTTATGATTCTATGATTCTATGATTTAAATACAATGGACTATGACACTGACCTGGAGCATCTCAAATATTTCCCATATTACATACTTAGAGATGTAGAAGCCTTTTTGATGTTGTCTAAACTCCTTTTCGTTGACCAAACCAGATTGATTTTGTTGTGTCTGATCCAATTTAAGGATCCAAGGAGAACAAGCACGGGTCTCGTGCAATCACAGTGTGTGGAATTAACTTTTGCCTCTTGTGCCAGGTATTTTGCTCTGCTTGGCTAACTGAAATTCTTGTAGGAGGCAGAGAGCTGCTGGTTGGTTTACATCTAAACCATGAATAGGTAGCTAGATCACCAGATATGTGACAGCTTTCTGCTGTGCAAGCTCAACTGATGGTTTGTGCAGTTAGCCCAGATGTTAGCATACATTTCCTAGGAAAAGGTATCCAAATGTTTCTCCTCACATGCATAATGCAGATTTTGCTTCTGTTTTGAATGTTTAACGCTTCTCACTTGCCTGGTATAGTCTGGATTTTATTATTTTTTCCCCTCCAGACATGCAGCTGTAAATGTGCCATTATCTTTCATTTAATCAGGAGAGAGCTGGGTGCTTCAGTCTCTTTTTTTTTTGAGATTTGAGGCAATTTCACACAGAAATAGATGTGAGCATTGTAAGGTACATTACTATAGAAATCTGGGAGTGGGAAACTGTCTCTGTCACGGCTTTCCACATAGTCCAGTAAACTCTTCAAAGAATATTCCAAGATGGATGGTGCCCAGTGTAGGCAGCATTTCTAAGTAGTGGCTTTTTATGCAGTCCATATCCAGAGCAGATGATGGTCCATCAAAGCAACTTTTCTTCCATTTTTTGCCCTTAAGCCTTCAAAAAAGTAGCTCAGAATATTTACAGGGTCACAATTGAAATGGAGGCGATTCTAGTGAATATTCACATTTAAATTGTCCAGGAGATCAGATAATGATATTGGTTGCTTTGAGCAATCATTTCTTAACGAGTGGATAGACTGTAATGTTTCTTAAGGAGCGAGATCCTTCTCTCCCCTTCTTAGAGGTCTGGTGGTAGCCCGTTTGTTAGTCTGGACTGCAAACTTTGTGTGACAACCAAGGAAACCGCTGGCCATTGGTGTGGGAAGGAGATGGATGTGTTAACCTGAAGTTTCTAAGGCCTTTCTTTACAAGCCTCTGCTGATGTTCAAGAAAGAAGGTTTTATCACTTGCCTGTATTTCTGCTCTATTATAATAATAGTGTTGCAATCTTCGATTGGGGAATCTGCTCTCTCCTCACTGGTCCCTGCAAACCAGGAACCATTGCGCTCATTCCTGTCCCTAGATAACCCACACTGCTTGGGTGGCTGCCAGTCTGACAGCATTTTAGTGTTAAAGCTTGTGTGGAGTGTGTATGAGCTGCTTATGCCTTGGAAGCTGTAGTAAAGGGTGGTTAGAGCTGGTAAACATGGAGTTTGAACTTTCCTCCTGGCATGGCAAGAAATGGAAGATTGCTGGGCTACAGCAAGGACAGCAGGGAAATGCCTGTGAGGACCAAATTCACATGCACGTACTTGCCTTTTAGAGTATAAAAGGTTATAAGTTATATAGCTGGAGTCAGTCTAGGACTGACGACAAGCAGGAAATCCAGGTTGCTTTGAGCACCTGGCAGCAATAGGATCCCTTTTCTGTTCAGTCCCTGTTGTGCATCCTGAAGGACGGAGTCCATTTGTCTGTTCTCACTAAATCCTTGACCTGCACAAATTCTTTTGAAAAAACAATATAGGAAATAAATTGTGGCAAACAAAAATATGTTTCTATTCTGACAAAACACTGGATGTACTCCAATGTAATTTTTTTGAACAATTGTATCCTATAAACTCAAAAACTTGGCAGAAGAGCTACAGGCAACATGTTGGTAAACAGCAGTCCCTCTCTGCTCGGGCACTGGGTGCTGTCAGGTCTGAATATTGTGGGAAGAAGGAAATGATTAAGGTGTCAGTCTTTGCGTCTCTATTTCTTTATGACTGAGAAGGAAAATTGAAAGAGGTTGGGAAGCAGTTGAGCCGTCTTGTTTGGTCGTAGAAGTTATTTCATATTCAGCAGGGTTTGGATTAGAGATGTCTGTCCTTACAGAGAGAAGCAGTTCTGTTTGTTCTAAGGAACGCATCACTCCAAGGCTTTCATGGCCTGTTCCACCCTTGTGGCCGTGCTGAATGCCTGGCCAGCCCCTGGCTGCTCCAGGAGCTGTTGCCGTTGCCCTGCCATTTCATTTTTCAGATGAGTTGCTTGACGGTCTTTCCAGTGCTCAGATGGTGGCAAAGCCATTTCGTTGCTCCTTTGGAGAGCCCTCTTGCAAGTCTGCTTTGCGACAATGCCTCCAGAAAGCCTGTCCCTAGGAGAGCAGACACCAAGGTGGGGCCATGCAGAGCAGTGGTGCTTTCTGGTAGTCCCTCCCCTGCTGCCTGTATCCAGCTGTTGTGTCTTGGGTTTGGGTTGTCTGCATTCACGTTGTAGCTGGTGCTGGATAACACAGGCCTGGAATACTTAGGTTGATGAAGAAAAAAGCCCTAATTTTTCTAGGAGCTTTCAGGTAAGGGTGAACTGAAGCTACCAGCTAAGGGGCCCAGAGTGCAGGTCATTGTCCTGGAGAGGAAGTCCCCTGTGTGCCTTTGCTGCCACTTCTGCTGCTACAGGTGCAGCTCTGGGTACCCGGGTAGTGATTCCCAGAACTAACCTTGGCTTAGGGAGTCAGGAGTAGCTACTGAAGAAAGGTGTGACAGGCCATTGGGGATGTAACCTAGGAAGAAGTATAAGGGGTGGGTGAAGAGCAGGTCTTATAGAAGGGGGAATACTTCCTGCAGAATGAATGGAAGGATAATTATATCCCTAGCAATTGTTTGGAGGAGGAAGGAAAAGACTCTGTGAATTAGTGCAAGGGATTGTGAAGCTTGGGAAAGGAAACGGAGGAGGAAGGGCAGGATGATCTTTGTGTTTTTCATTAAGAATAGAGCAGCTGCTATGCTGGCAATTGTCAAATTAATGTTTATAAGAGGTATTAATGTATATAAGCAGGTTTTATCCGGTGGCATGGCAAAGACGAGGGCTTGGATGCAAACAAGCAGTGTGATGATGGAAAAGCTTGCGCCAAGGTGCCCTTTTCTCCACCTGGGATGTGCTGGGATGGAGCAGCAGCTTCTGTGCCCCTTTCCTCCGTGCACCCGGACCTTCTGCCATACCTGTCCATACTCACGGCACAGATTTCTTTCGACTGTTTAACACAGTAATCCTTGCTGTTCGAAAGCATTCCTTTCCACATTTCAACCTCCTGTTCTGCAGGGCCTGTTTGAAGGAGGAGGTTTCTGTAGACTAGTTGGCATCCAGGTCACAGTGACCCACTTCCTGCTTTCCCAGTGTTGTCCCCAAGAATCATATGATCCCACTTATATACACACGGGTGCACAGAGTTACATTTGTGTCTGCTAATCTACACGTAACCATAACGTGTTGCATTGGTGGTGCATGTGAGCATTGAGGTTGTGTGAGGAACACTGAGGTGCTGCAGTCTGGTTTAAAATTTGGCCATTGTCTAATACGAGCAGATAGGACAGAAGTAACCGTGTGTGTTTTGTCCAATCATTCCTTCGTCGCGTGAAAGTGATCCCATGTTTTCAGAAAGTGACTATGAATTAGTGACAAATCTTCCAAGTTATCTCCACAAGGCATCAGAAATACTTCTGGACATGAATACATTTTACTCTTCCTTGGTATCTACAGGAGTCTAAAAAAACCCCTCAAAATGCCAATAGCTTACAAGTAGATATTGGAGATTAACCCCTCACTCTCAAGCAGATATAGAAAACCCTGTAGGATTATGGTTGGGTCTTGTTGAACTCTGTGTGTCTCAAAGGTATTTTTTTCCTCACTCCTTACTGGCACAGCAAAATCGGTGCTTGCTTGGGAAATACTGATGGACTATTTTTGTAATTTGATGAAGATAATGGACTGAGACAGTGTTTTGCTGGTTGTGTTCTTGAAGTGGGTGACTGCTGTTTGGTTCTGGAATGTAATGGAAGGAGCAATCCCTGCCTCAAAGAAGGTTTTTAAATATTGTTGAGTTGACAGAGGGAGTGGGTGTACAACTTGCAGGGAAGGATGCCAGCTTCATGGTTGGCAGTACCTTGATAATGAACCTTCTTTTAAGGCTACCCATGGTTACTTAGTCATTACAAACCAGCTCATTTCTTAAGGCCATCTTAAAGGCAGTGGCTCCTGAGGAGAAAATCATGTCCAGGGAAGCCACTGGCTATGGGTACTAACTCAGGTGGTCATTGGCGGGTAAAAGAGCCTAAATAAGTGATGAAACCAAAAGCAGTGATGGAAGGGAAGGTAGACAAAGACAGAAGGGGAGGTAAGTGGGGAGGGGGAAGAGTTTGTGCAGAATGCTGCCCAAAGTGACTGTTCAGATCTCTGAATGTCCGTCTGGCTTCTCAGCATAGCCACATGGATCCAATAAATTTGTAGGGAGTTTTTACTGATTAATGTGGTTTTGCAGATTGATGAGTGTCAGCTCACAGCTTGTGTTCACGCCAGCACTTTAACAAGTGGGGCAGCACTTTCCTAGGGGAGTGGGATCTGCTCCTGGCCCTGGCAGTGCTTGAGCCACTGTTGGGCAGCAGGTCACACGAGCACGGCCATATGGCAGCTGCTGCTGTGACTGCAGCTTGCATGGACATACCTTAGCCAACTTATTCTAGGCTGAGTACTGCTAGCAGCGTACCTGCAAGCGCCGTGGAGCTCCGTGCAGGCTGCAGTCCATCTCAAAAAGCAAATCATTTATTTCAGCGATTTGTGCCGAACCCCGTGCTATCGCAGGGCAAGCCGGCTGATTTAAAGTAGCTCAGAT